AGTGTATGTCAATGAAGGAATGTGTAAAATGCAATTTACAAGAATGAAACAATGTATACAAATTTTGAATGGAAACCAATAGAGGTTGTCTTTTTATAAAAAAAATCTAATTCTATTTCATGAATACTTCTGAGTATCACGAAGAACTCGGTATATATACTAGGTCCCTCTGCTGTAGGAAAAGATAATGTCGGATGGGTTTTAAAGTCAGGTTAGCAGGAATAATGGTGCTTGCTTGTTGGGGTTTTCACGAGGCTGCCTTGGAATTACTGGCAGTCTAGGGTGGGCATGTGACTCTTGGATGAGAGCAAAATCAGGTTACCCTAAAAGAACTGGGCTGGCAGTGGCCTGTGATGTTCCCTGGTGTCCACTTAAACTCTTGGAAGAGGGGACCTCACACTGACTGAGAGCCTATAATTCTGAGCCAGGTTGGCCTGGCCTTGAACCTGGGCTCAGCCACGTCTTAGTAATACCTACTTCCTCAGGTCATGGTTAGGATTAAACGAGATAATGTACATAGTTACTAACCTGAACTCAGCTTCTAAGTGTTCAGTACATGGAGGCTATTATTATTATTTTTACTTCTTTAAAGTGCTAAAGAGCAAAAATGTGGCTTCGAGGACTAAGATACACCTGACCCAAGCCATGTGTTTTCAGGGACTTGCAAAGGCATCCATTCTTCTTCTGTCGTTCTTATTCATTGTCCAGCTCTCACCAGCATGCAAGTGATTGAAAAGACCATGGTCTGAATCAGAAATGTAATTAGCTCTTTAAATATTTTTTTAAACCAACCCATAGCTGACCCTCCAGCAGGTTTTGAGAGGCAATAAATCACGCAGGAGGAGATTGCCCATCCTTCTCCCCAGTACCCTAAAGACCTGTTTATTGTTTGGCTGAGTTGCAGGCAAATGCAGTTCCAGGCTTGAGGATTGTCTAAGGGCCACAGTCGCTGGGATTCTGCTAGTCCCTGTCACACCAGTAAGCTTGGCCTTTGCTTGCTATTTGTGTTTGTTTCACATTTTTCTCCCTCCCAATAATGAACCTTCTACTGTGGTCCCTCTCCAAGAAGTCAGCAGTGGGAGCTGGGCACCATCTAGTTTCTTCTGGTCTCAGAGTCATACAGGCTGAGGTTCCCGAGGTCCAGGAGACCCCTGCACTAATGGTTCCCACTCACCTTTGATTTTCTTCACTTTTCTTTGCTCCAGACAGGGAGGGAGCAGTAGTTACACCTTGGGTGGCCACTCAAATTATTCTCAAGAACTCATTGCCCTCCACTGAATTTCTGAGGCTGTAAACTGCATGGGAGTAGATTGCCCATCTTTCTCCTTTGGGGCTACTGGTGAATTCAAAGCATCAGAGAGGTGCCACTTTTGGTTAACAGTGCAGCTCACTACGTTCAACACCCCAAAACATTAAATTCAATGCCTTCACCACAGTTGGTATGTCAAGAACTGGCCTTCACCTTGAATCCTTCCTGACTCTGTGACCCAAATGTGGGTTCTGCATTTCTTCCTTTCCCCTCCTGCATCTCAGCTCACAAGTCTGCAGCCCATGAGGTTAGTGTCAGGGGAGGATGTGTCCAGAGACAGTATCTCAGAACATGACCCTGGCGTGCTCACCTGCCATCTCTCGCTTGTGGCGAACAAGGGAGAAGTGACTTGGGAGGAGGAATAAAGTCAGATCATCCACTTCAGAAGAAGGGACTCCAAGGGGGGCACTTGCTCAGCAGCAGAGCCTAAGGGGAAATACCCAGAAAAGACAGAGTCTCACCACATTCTTTATTCTAAGGAGCCTGGCAGCATTGTTGGTTACATGGTGAGCTGCTAACCAAAGGGTCAACAGTTTGAATCCGCCTGCCTCTGCGAGAGAGAAAGATGAGCAGCCTTCTCCTGTAACTGTTGACAGCCGTGGAAACATGAGTCAGAAGTTACTTTGACAGCAGGGGCTGGTCTCTGTCTTTATTATTTCCTCATTAACATATCCATGTATGATCGTTACATGTCTGATCCATCTTATAAAATCTGGCCTGGAATTTAGCAGACCTGAGTGAGATGTCCTCTTTGATGGCACAGCTTGGGCAGAGTTCACGGGGAGTTCGCCCCTGTCCCCGGCGGGTGCTGGCTCTTTATGGAATTATCTCCAATCTCTGAGAAAACAGGAAGGTGCAGCAGCGTTGGCTGCCAGTGTCAGTGCGTGTTTACTTCCCAGATTACGTGGAGTGTGTCCCCGCGGGGCCCTGGTCCTGGTCCTGCTCCTGACGCCTGTCACAAAGGACGATGGAGCCGTCCAAACCAACCGCTTGGATCCAGGGCCTGTTGTAAGTCACGCCGTGTTTGAGGACTGTTTTGTGGTCTCAGAGGTGGTTCATGTTGTCCTGGAGGGCTGGGCCTGAGCTGGCTCCCCTCACTCAGAGAGGCCTTCTGCAGGCAACATTGCTGGCCTGCTTGGTGTGAAGCCCAAAGGAGAGAAGATGGAGAGGGAACAAAAAAGGCTTGGGGCAAAAGGAATTACAAAAAAAATTTAAAATAAAAAATTGCAACAAAGGGAAAAACTGCCTGAGAGGGTTCCAGAGTCAAATGATTTCTTAAGGGATCAGTTTTTTGGAAATAAGTTTCCAGGCCTTTCTTCCAAAGCACCTCTGGGTGAACTTGAACTTGCAGTCTACCAGTAGCCGAGCACACTAACCATTTGCACCACTCAGGAACCCCACTGAAAGGACAAGGGTGGGGTTGTGCTCCAGATGAGACTCAAAAGATCGTTGAGACTCAGGCTGTTGAGACTGTTAGAGAGTCTTGAGCTGATTCCAGCTCGCAGCATCCCTGTGCAATAGATCAAAACGTCGCCCACTCGAGCACCATCCTCGGTCTCAGCCGTGCTCGAGCCCGTTGTTGTGATCACTGCGTCAGCTCCTCTTCTGGAGGGCCTTCCTCTCCTTCGTCAACCCTCTGCTCTTCAGGCGTGATGTCCTGCACAGCACGGAACACCCAGGAAGGGTTATTAGGGCAGGATCTTGATCTTTCTGGGCTTTTCTACACCATCTCTTTGCTGTTGCCACAGCCTGAGACATGGGCTGCCGGAGCCAGTTCTGGGAGATAGCGAGAAGCAGCGGTTCTGAATTCCAGTGCGGGTGCTCCTGGATGCAGGACAGAACCTTTCCAAAGCTGAGTGGCTGTGACCAGAATGAACGGTATTTACTGTGAAGCGTGATGGTCTTTGCAGCTGTACTCCAGTGTTTGTTTCGTAGGATGGCCCGCTGGAAGGTTCTGGAGCACCCAGTGCTTCTCACATTCACTACAATGAGGGACCTTTCCTTGGTGTAAAATGCAGTAAAAATGAATGATTATGGCATATATTGTCAATGGAGTCAGTATAATCTCCAAGGGAGCAAAAGTGTCTTAAGAGAAGAGGAAAATGGGGGGGGGGGGGGAATCTTGCTCTTTTTATGTAAAAGCTTTAATGCATAACCTAATCAGATACTGTATCTATGATATGAAAATTAAATGGGGGTCAAATACTTAGGAATTCAGAATTATCTTAATATGTTCTCTAGAGGAACAAAACCAGTAAAAAGTGTGTGTGTGTGTGTGTGTGTGTGTGTGTGTGTGTAGATGATGATGATGATGATGATGAAGATAGATAGATAGATAGATAGATTGATTTATCTCAAAGAGTAGCAGATACTCTATCACAATAAGAGATGACGAGAGTGAATATCAGGGGACCTATAATAAGACCTGTCTTGATCAGCTTCAGAGAGGATGTTTCCTTTATCTCATTTCTGCCTTCCCTGTATCTCACTCGACAGTCCAACAGCAAGATGGGGCATAAAGGTCAATGCTTAACATTCTCCATCAAGGAGAACTTGGCAGATGTGAGAAACAGAAAGGGACAAAAAGACAGAGAGAAAAAGATGACAATAGTGAAATTGTATGTCAGGTGCTGTTCTGAGCTCTTCGTGTGTGTCCACCCAGTTAATCTTTGTGTGTAGAGTGCTAAAAAGCAAGGCTGTCAGCCTAGAGACTAAGGTGGTGCACCCAGTCCAGGGTATGGTCTTCACAGTTAACTTGTTATGTTCCAGAGAGCTGGACAATGGCTAAGGATGATAGAAAAAGAACCAATGCCTTCAAGTTGTGGTGCTGGATATGAGTCTTGAACATACCATGGACTGCCAAGAAAACAAATAGGTCTGTTCTGGAGAGGGTTAAACCAAGTCTCTCCTTAGAGGCTAGGATTTTGAAGCTCTGTCTCAAATACTTTGGGCATGTGGCCAGGAACACCAGCCCTTGGAGGGGGACATAATTCTTGGAAGGGTAGAGGGGACAGCACAGAAGAGGAAGACCCCTAGATGAGATGGATTGATACAGTAACTGGGGCAATGGAGATTGGTGTGTCGAAATTAGTGAGACTGGCTCAGGACAGGGAAGGCTTCAGAGCTGCTGTACATAGGGTCACAGGCGACTCAACAACACATAACAACTTATTAGTTGTTTTTATTTTTTATATAAGCTTCTTGTTTAGAGTCAACAAGACCTTGTAGAGAGGACTTTTGCATTTAAAAGTCGGTTGTTATTCTATTTTGGGGGGAACATTCTTCTAAGTGGTGCAGCACTCTTCCGTCAATTTGCTGTACTGAGGTAACCTGGGGTTTCTGTGATGCTGAACCTGTACCACTAGGGTGTCAGATGCCATAATGGTTACCCATGGTAGACAGTGTTGGTGAAGCTCCAAGTTTAATACAGTTTTGGGAGCAGAAATGGCATCCACTTCCTAAACAACATGCCTCTGGAAATTCTATGAACTTTGAGAAACAATGATAGTTATAGAAAGACTTTAGGTCTCAGGGAAATTGAGATTAAAACTATTCCGTAACTTTTGAAGTTTGCAGGTTCTTTCTTAACCTCCAGACCCTAAATCCCCACCTTTCTGCTGCATCCTTCTCCGTCACGCCTCCTTCCAACTACTGGAAATGTAATCAGTGCCCTTGTCCCTCCTTCCCACAGGCACAGCCGGAATCTATCAAGGAGCAAATGGACTGACCAACGCAGCTGGATTCGGGACTGTGCACCAGGTAGACTGTCTCCCTCCAGATGCGTCTCTATGTTCTTTCCTTAAAGAAGGCAGCCAGGGTGCCCACTGGCATAGAGCAGCTGCCATCACCAGCCACTTACTGGACACCTGACCTCTTGTCCCTGGGTTTGGAGACTGCAGGGGGCGGAGGAGACAAAAGTCACTGAAAGGATCTAGAGACGGAGGCATTTGAATTACTAGATACTGTTTAAAGCTTTCAGAACCTCTTTTGGTGGTAAGAAACTGAGCTGCAGTCTTCTTTCTTAGTGATACTGAGGTCCTGACGAAACTCCCCTTGACATGGTCTCAAGACTGTGATGAAATTAAGGCGAGCTGCATTCCATCTTTAATCCTTTTACAGCTGTTTGGTTTATCAGATTATGGGGGAATCTTTACATAGCTCCTGTGTCATATCATTTCATACATGTATTTTGCAAGGGTCACAATTCATTCCATAACTGAAGCCCAACATATAATCCAGTAGGCCGCCAAGGGGAGGTGCCCTACCAATACCTGTTAAATTAAACAAAGTTAAAACAAAACAAAACAAAAAGTCTGTTGTTGGTGTGTACCATCAAGTTGTAACTGACACATAGCTGGCCCTCCAGCAGGTTTTCAGAGGCAGGTAATCGGCACAGGAGGAAACGTCCCATCCTTCTCCTGTAGAGCAGCTGGTGGATTCACACTGTGCCTTTGGATTGGCAGCGCAGCTCCTTACCAGCAAGCCACCTGAACTCCTCCTGTGATGGTGCATAAGATCATAAAGACAACCATGTAACACAACCGTGTAATCTTACTTCAGCTTAATCAGAATGCTCATATTGGATCACAAAGAATTAGGAACGCCAGATGCTCTGCTGGAGAGGGAGGGACGGTCTCCTCTTCGGCTCCCAGGAGTCTCACCTGTAAGCGTCTCCCTCTTCCCTCAAATAAGGCACTTGGTTCAAATCCTTGTTTCAGGTTGTGCTTCTGGAGAAACTAAAATGCTGACAAGCCCTGCCCTCATGGAGTTTTCATTCTGGTAGGAGACAGGCTCAGTGACCCAGCAGAGACCTGCTCAACTGCTGGTACCTTGGTCGACAGAGCTCTCCCCGTGGTGCTTCAGAGGGAAGAGCTGGTCCACTTCTCCGTGGATTCCCGGAGGCCCTCAGGTCACCTCAGGTCACAATGAGTCAGAATCGACTCAACAGCATCCAACATAGAAAGGGAGACAGAGAAACAGACACAGTAGAATGACCCCCCAGGTCTCTTCCCCACATCTGTGTGACAGACGGAACCCCACACCGCCCCCACTGGTGGAGGCGTCCTCACCACTTCTGTGTTTTTCCTCTTTCAGGACTATCCTTCCTATGCCGGCTTTCCTCAGAGCCAGTACTCCCAGTATTACAGCTCAACCTACAACCCTCCCTACGTCCCGGCCAGCGGCATCTGCCCTTCCCCCCTCTCCACATCCACCTACGTCCTCCAGGAGGCCTCGCACAGCATCCCCAACCAGAGTCCTGAGTCGCTTGCTGGTACGTACCGCCACCATCTCTCTGTCACTCATGGCTGAGGTCCCAAGGTCACACTTCACAACCTGGTGACAGGCCGCTGGGGTTAAATCCAGCCTTCAATGTGCCTGCTTTGCCTGTGTGTGTACATGCACATATGCTTAACTGTAGCCGGGTTTAAAAGTCAGAAAATATTACCTAAAAATTCTAATTTCTCACTTAGGCGCTGGACTCACAGCCAAAAGGTTTGCAGTTCAGGTTCCTTCAAGGATGCCTGCAGGTTTTTAGTGTCCCTCTCCCTTGTCCTTGAATCAAATTGGCATCAGTCAGGAATCAAACCCAGGTCTCCTACATGGGAAGATGTCAGGCCCAGAAGCCCTGTGGGGAGATTCTGCTTTGTGCTGTAGGATCCCAGTGAATTAGAATTGACTCAACAGCAATACGTTTGTTTTGGGGGTTGATGAGTCCAGAAGGCAGGACCTTTGGTGACACAGTGATTAAGTACATGACTGCTAGTCAGATAGCTGGTGTTTTGAACCCAGCTGCTCCTAGGAAAAAAGAGAGATGGCCATCTATTAGATTAGAACCCGGTTCCTTTGGGTTAGCAGCGCAAGTCCTTACCACCAGGCCACCAGAGCTCTCCCAATTAAAATGTCCAGATGTGAATATTGAATGTTGTATTTTTCTCCTTTTTTTTTTTCCTTTTGAAACCTGTATATGTTCTGAGGATTTCTGTATGCCAGGCTCGCATGGTGCTGAATGGACAATAAATAATGATCGGTTGGCTGGTGGTTGAGGGGGTAGCTTTGAAAAGGAACAATCAGGATTCATCTCTCCTCCCTCCCCTCTCCTGAGTATTCTCAGTTATCCTAAACTGTTTGTATAGTTTCTTTTCCTCAACATCAAGAAACAAAAACCTTCACAATTGTACCAGTAGGCAACCTTATGATAAATGGGACAGAGATTGAAACTGCCAAGGGTTTCCTTTTCCTTGGGCCCACAGTCACATCTCTAGAGGCAGCAGTTCAAGAAATCAAAAGACATTGTGTTAGAAAAATCTGTTGTTGAAGCTGTGGTATATTCACACAATGGAATACTACACCGCATTGAAAAACAAGGAACTCATGCAATATTAGTCCAAATGGGTGACCCTGGAGGACATTATGCTGAGTGAAATATCTCAGTCACAAAAGGACAAGTACTACATGGTGCCACTGTTGTAAAACAGTATTGACATCGGGGTTGGGGGAAACTGAGAAAGATGGGTTCAGTAATGTATACTTATTGAAACAGATGAGGGAGAAAACTGTTTAAGGGGAAAAATTATTAGGTATTTTTGTCATGACAAGAGCCCAAAGTGAAGGCTGTATAGTGGAGTGGACCTGGAGGGAGGGATTGTAAAACAATGGAAGAATTTTTCTTTTGCTTTTCCAAGAGCATAGTGTCCCAGGGGGGAGAGTTGGGAGGGGAGAAAAGTGCAACAATGAATGAATGGAAATCCAAAGTCTCTGTAAATTTTCATTGAAATTAATAATGTTGTTGTTGTTGTTGTTATGTGCCGTCGAGTCGCCTGCGACTCATAGCGACCCTATGTACAACAGCCCTAAACTCCGCTCTGTCCTGTGCCAATCGCACTGTCTCTGACACTCCCATCCCAATTATCCCAGTCACTGAATCAATCCACCTCATAGAGGGCCTTCCTCTCCTGTGCCGTCCCTCCACCCTCCCAAGCATGATGTCCCTCTCTAAGGACCAGTCTCTCCTCACAACATGTCCAAAGTAAGTTAGATGGAGCCTCAGAATCCTTGCCTCCAAGGAGCCACCCAGTTTAACCCTCTCCAGGACAAATCTGTTTGTTTTCCTAGCAGTCCATGGTATTCTCAATACTCTTCTCCAGCACCACAGCTCAAAGGCATCAATTCTCCTTCTATCCTCCTTGGTCATTGTCCAACTCTCTGATGCATAACAGGTGATTGCGAAGACCATGGCCTGTATCAGACGCACCTTAGTCTCCAGAGAGACACCATTGCTCTTCAGCACTTTGGAGAGGTCCCTAACAGCAGACTTTCCCATGGTAATGCGCCTTTTAATTTCCTGACTGCTGGTGCCAAGACTGTTGACTATGGAGCCAAGCAAACTAAAGCTGTGTACAATCTCAGTCTCTTCACCATCCATCCTGATGCTGCCAATTGGTCCAGTGGTGAGAATCTTTGTCTTCTTGACATTGAGCCTCAATCCATATTGTAGGCATTTTTTTTTAAAGTTGGGTAACAAATAATAATGATAGAAGAAAAAAAAAGAAAACTCTGTTGTCAGGGAATCTCTTTCAAGTGTTCCTAGGGAAAGATGTCAACTTAAAGACTTTGCTGCATCTGACCTAAGCCATATGTTCAGTTGTTTCATGTGATTGTGAAAGTTGGGCCATGAATAAGGAAGACGGAAGGACTGATGCCCTTGAAGTGTGATGCTGGTGAAGAGTATTGACGACATCACTCACGTTGGCGTCAAGTTAGAACCAAGTCATAGCTGACCCTCCAGGGTGTTTTCAGGAGGCTGTAATCTCACAAGAGGTGATTGCCCATCTCTCTTCTGTAGAGAAAGCTGGTGGGTTTGAACCGAATACCTTTGGGTTGGCAGCACAACTCCTTAAGAATTCAGGCAGAGAGGAAAGAGAAGCAGGAGATTTTCCAGCAGATGAAGGTATGTGTCTGCATCTCGATGGTGAACTGGACCCAAAGACTGACTTCCCGAGACTGTGGGTCCGAAGGGAAGGTCACCTTTGTTTCCAACACGGAGCGAACATAAAGGCTTATTGTATCTCTTTGAAAATCTTCTTGATTATTTCCCGCTGTTCTTCATTTATCCGTGGGTCTAAGGTTCAACAATAAGTGGTTGAGATGGCTTTTACTGTGTGTCTAACAAGCACACATAAAATCTAATGGCATAAATAATTGTCAGCTGTAAGCAAGGTCTCCTGCCTCGTTGCCCCAGCTTCCCTCATAAAAGAAGGGCAGGGAAGAGCACATTGATGCCCAAGTGCACGCACACGTACACACACATGCAGGCTCTTAAAACTTCCCATAAAAGCTCGACTTTTGAAATTACCCAGGGTCTCTGAGTGGTTTCTTCCAAACTCCAGAGGTTCAGAGAGGTTGTGCATCACAGACAGCTCAAGCTCACGCCTCGTATCCCGAGGATTTCATATCCTGCTTTGCTCCGCCCCTGCATCCAGGTCCCGCTGCAGTGGCCGTGGCATGCATGTGGAGACATTCCGCTCCAGCACCCACAATTTGCAGATGATTGCAGGCAGTTGGCTGCAGCCAAGGGCAAAATTCGAGCATTTGATGCTATTCAAGAGGAAAAACAAATCAGCAGTCATTGCTTAAGGATTATTTTTCTCTTTAAATTTTCAAAGCATAGACTCAAATTCTCTTAAAAGAAGTTAAGGGGGGAAAACAAACAAACAAGACAATGTCAACAGGGAAAAAAAGAAGTTAGAGCAGTGTTTTAAGCTTCTTAGAGCCCCTCCTTCAGCTGGTAGAAGGAGACATTTGGATCTATATAATATTACTATAAATATTGCCAAAGGACGTAGAGAGCCGAAGGGGAAACTCCAAGGTCTTCCATGCATTTCGGCAACACTTAGCAGAATGTGAAATGCATAGACCCTTTAGCCCAATTAATCCACTTCTAGCAGTTCATCCAAAAGATAAATTTGCACATGAGTACCCAGTATGAAGACTATTTCTTCCGGTACTGTCGTCTCAAAAGACTGGATTCACTCCAGATGTTAGTTAACGGAAGACAGGTCAAGAAACGATGGTGCAGACGGGAGCATCACCAGGATTCGTGTCCCCCATACAGCGTCTCACTCTCCTGACAGGCAGAGCGGCCTGGCCCTGCCCTGCCCTGCGCCTGCCCCAAGCTCGGGATGCCCACCCATAGTGACCTCTAGTCGGCTTCTGAAGCTGGACGTCTTCACAGGAGGAAGCTGCTCCTCCCACCGAATCACTTCACATAAATGTGAAATCTGGACAATGAATGAGGAAGATCCAAGAAGAATTGATATCTCTGAATTACAGTTTGGGCAAAGAGTATGCCCAATATGCTGTGGACTTTCGGAAGAACAAGCACATCTGTGCTGGAAACATGGAACCAGAATTCTTCCTGCATCGATGGATGGATGGGTCTATGGATGGATCAAGGACCAGTTTGCTCGGTCAAGGAGAGCATCACTGAAAGAGAGAAAGACTGAGGGACATGGATTGACACACAGTGGCTGCAGCAGTGGATGGACTCCTACATGGCAGTGACGGTGGGGACGACTCAGGACTGGACAGGGTCGCCTTCTGTTGTCCACGGCCTCTCTGTGGATTGACTCCACAGCAGTGGGGAGGGAGGAAGGGATTACAAAAGGAACAAAGACAGTTTTAGGGGGTGATGGATGTATTTATTATCGTGATGCTGGTGTTAGTTTCGTAGCTGTGTGTATAAATCAGCATTCAGCCCTTATCACATTATACAGCTTCAGTATGTGCATTTAGTGGAACGTCAGTTTTCCCTCAGTGACACTGTGAAGATAAATACACGAGGGAGAAATCAAAGGCATTCACTGACTCCAAAAAACTGTGCACTTAAATTGCTCTGAACCTGACTGTGGCCTTGAATTCTGATCCTTCATTCTTGGGAATGAATGTTGTTGTTGTTAGGTGACATTGAGTTGAATATGACTCATTGCGACCCTGTGACCAACGGGGTGAACCCTGTCTATCCTGTGCCATCCTCACCCTCTCTGACACACCAAGGTGGGAAATGACTGGAGATAGAGTGAGTTTTGCATTGGTTGACTTCATACATATTTGTTCTTGTTGTATGATGGTGTCGAGCTCCTTTTAAACCATATGGTAACCCCTGGTCTATGTACAGGTTCCATATGAACACAATCACATGTTCTGGAATTCCTATTCTTCTCAATATGATCTCATTTATTTTGATCTATACAGTCCAGCGCCTTTGCATAGCAA